CCCCCCCCCATCCCCAAAAGTTTCTCAGCGGATTTGGGCTGTACTCAGCAAGTGCAGTACAGCCCCAAACTCAGATTTGAAAAAAAATCACTGGATGGTTGTTTTCTGACTGGTCAGCAGACCGCCGACCGGTCGGCCCTACTGGTCGGCTGCAATACGGCCGGCGGTCGGGATCGGTGGTTGGCACGGATGCAACCCCGGTGACGAGTTTGAAAACTTTGAAGTGCTGACTGAATCAGATAGGGGGCATCCTCACCCGAAATAGAATGCCTGGCCATTATCACTGCATCTAGACCGAAAGATGCCCCGAAGACGGCTATAACAACCGGGCATTCTATTCGGGCAAAGATGGTAGGGGCTACCCCCTTGTTCTTCTTCTTCCTTTTTTTTTTTTTTTTTTTGAAGCAGTGTACTCTCCCAAGAATCCCTTTCTTTGCACCCTCATTGAACCTTTTGATAGCATACAATTGTCTGGCATCAGCGAACCTGATCGGACAGTCAGCCATTGTGATGTGATTCTTCCTTGAGGACAACAATCGTAGCCCCCAGTTCACGGTTATTTCAACGGCATGCCAGACTTCAATCAATTTCAGGCTTTTCAGCAAAACCACACCTGCACAGAGTTGATTGGAAGCATATAACACTTGACTGAAAACTTCACACAGGACTGAAATTGATGATCCAAACCAAAATACTTCATGAAACTGAGAAAACCTTGGAATTGGAACTATACAGAGAAGATTAGCATGGCACCTGCACAAGGGACAAAAAACAAAGAAGCTTACGTCCACGCATGGGTGCCTAGCCCCCAAGGTGCCCAGCATCAAACAGACTGACAAAAATGAGTGTGCCATTGGTGCCGTCTGCCCCCGAAGAGAACGTACGGTCCCTATTGCAGCATTTGGGGCGCCCCCGAATAGAACGTACGGTCCCTATGACAGCATTTGGGGCAACTTTTCAGTCCAAATGCTGTGATAATGACCGCGCATTCTATTCGGGTGAAGAAGGTAGGACAGGTCCCTCTGATGATATGATTGAGTTAGGGTAGCAGTCTGGCCAGTTCAAGGACCATGTCGGCTTGCTTAGCGCAAACATCACATTCGGAAGCCCGAAACGCATCACGAAATCAATGAAATTTATCAATGGCGGCCCGGCCCCGAAAGTTGCCCGTGTTAACCCCGGCATATGTGTTTTTTTTTCGAGCGGGGAAAGGTACTGGTGGTCTATGTCTCAAGTGCACGACCAAAGGATTACTGCCTTCACCCCAATAGAATGCCCAGTCATTATCGCTCTAGCTAGACTGAACATTGCCCCGAATACGGCTGTGATGACCGGGCGATGACTGGGCATTTCTATGCGGGGGAGGACGGTAATGGGGCCCCATTCTTATTCGAGCTTCGCCTAAGGATTGCCTGATTGGGTGAGCTCTGTCCCTATGGATCTTGCTGATCTACACGTTTTGCTAATCTGTAGCCTATGCCTTTTAGGAGATTGTTAATCTATAGCTGAAGCCTGTTTCTATAAATATGTTCAATCGTTTAACCTATACATCCCCGTTAGGCTCTGTTGCAAGTGGTTTATGAATGCTTATCTTTCCCTTTTTCATAGCCTTTTGGATATATAGATGAACCTGCGAATATAAACCTTCTTCTTCGTCTTCTTCTTTGACTTCTTCTTCTTCTTCTTCACCATCATCTTTTTCTCAGGCATTTGGCTACGGTGTCTTCCATTCTCATGAGCATCAGTCTGGTTCCTTTTGTGCTGACAGGTCATCAATACAACATAGTTGTCAGTTCACAATTTGCTATTTATGGCTGAGAGATCCTCGGCCTTTCTGAGGCCCTGCCTGTTTCTCCTCCTGCCTTGCTGACGCTCACCACTTGCGGATTCCTGGCCGTTGATGCTTCCATACCTGACACATCCATGTCGAGCTTCTTCCCCTGCATGTCACCATTAAGCACGCTCGGCGGCCAGTTATTTACCTCTCATTCATTGCCATATGCTTCTGCATTACTCCAACCCTTGACCGTTGATCTGAGTCATTTTGCCTCTGACAACATCAAATTAACACTTTCCTTCTTGAGAAGGGGTTGGTTATCCAACCCTTTCTTTACTCTTCTAGGCTGGGGTATCTCGGTCCCCTTCATCTCCTTCACTTCAATGAAGTTCAATCCAAGCCTCAAATCTATTGTGCTATTGCACCTTCACTTCCAGCTTATACATAGCATGGTTCTCTTGCCCACTACATTTTCTCCTCCTCTGCATTGCGAGAGTGAATCACCTCTCTCTCTCTCTCTCTCTCTCTCTCTCTCTCTCTCTCTCTCTCTCT